CAGCAATTTATATTACTTATACGTTGTTTCAGCCGATTGACGATAACATAGATGGAGAAAACATGTAATTTTTTCTCACACAACATACTAAGACGTAATGTATAGATATTTTTTTTGCAAGGAAGTCTGGTGGCTCCGAAGGTTCTTTGGTGATTATAATGGTTATAATGGTTAAGCGAATATAATCCTATATAATAAATGTCTGCTACTACAGCTTGGTTTTCAAGACAACCAAAGCACAACCTGATCGGTGTTGTTAGTTCGTGATTCAAAGAAGAAATAAAACATCATGTAACATGCACCCCAAAAACAAACCAAAATCAATTGGTTTACTACACCGAATTCGATTAAAACACATCGAATTAATTCAGATTAAGTTTAAAGTGTTTAAAATCTTACTTACCTTTTTTTTTAGAATGAGAGAGGTTGTAGTAACCGCAAAGTGGCCAGACTGTTGGACAGAAGGACCACCACAAGTGTTTCTTATATCGAAGGTTTCTGAAAAAATGATTTGGCTTTCAATTAGTCGTGGAGCATCAGGGCTGCCCTTTGCGATGACATTGATGTCATGCTCAGGCAATTGATTGAAAGATTTGATCAGCCTCTCCGTATTACGGCTCACTAAAGACGATGAGCAGTTTGAGGGTTTGTTTAGGATCCGGGAAGAAGTTGAGTGAGAAAAATGAGAGAAGGTGACTATAAAGAAGATAAAATGGATAAGAAATGATATTACTTCCATTTTTTCCTTTGTGATTTGTTAGAGAATTTGAGGTTTTGGTATGAAAGGAGAAGTATTTATAGAGTTGGCATATGTTGTATTTAATTTATTTATAACCAAATAATCGTGTCAAGATAAACGGAAGATATTTATTTTTCCAAAATGTTTCTTGATATTTTATATTCAAATATTTACTATGTTAACTTAATATGTTTCCTAGGTTAGGAGTATGGAATATTAAGAAAAACAAATCCTAGTAAATTCTAACCCTACGAAGTCAAGCTAGAGTAAAACAAATTCTCCACTATAGAGCCTAAAGGCACCTTTGAGAGTGGGATTCTTAAAAATGATTAGCTACTAATTAAAACTAAAATGATTGATGGAGTTATAATACTCATTCAATAAAATTTCAAAATTTCTCTCTTGAGATTTTATTGGATGAGTATTAAAAACCTCATCAATCACTTTTGCTTTAATTAGCAACTAATCAATTCTCTAGAACTTCATCCTCGTTTCATTGATAGAATTGTTCTAAGTTATGTCTAATTATCGTGAAAATAGATACATTGTATATACCATTATTATTCTTTAGTTACTTCATTATAGAATTAAAAGGTAATGTATAATCGTATGGTGTTGAGATTCACCGCATGATTTATACACTTATCATTGATGATTAATACACTTAGCAGAACCTAAAATATTTCTATAAGAATTTATACATTTATCATTGATGATTAATGATATTCGTTAAATTGAAATATTTAGAAATATAATAATACTATTATTAAGTTTTATTCAATAATAATATATACTAGAGCTTGACCCGCACGACCGTGCGGGTGTTTATTTCATTTTATGTATATATGTATATATATATAATTATTTATATTATTTTTTAAACATCTAAATTTTATAGTTTGTTTGTTTTATTTGATTAATTATTTCAAACTCACATGTATTTGTTAGTTCTTATTATATATATTTTTTGTTGGATTTGTATTTAATTATCTGACAAAATTTCCAAAAATTTGAAAATTATTTATATTTCCTTCTCTATTATTAAATCTAAAAATAAATCTAATTTCAGTTTAAGTTATAAGTAGTTGTAAGAAAATAATTTCTTTAGTAATTTTTTTGAATTTTATGATAAATTTAAAATATTCATATATACCAATCTTTAAGCATTTAGTATTAGATATTTACACAAATTATAAAATAAATGATTGAATATTAAATATATTTGGTTTTTGTTTTTAATATGTTAAATGTGAAGTTATATTTTTAGAACATAAGTTTTTATGTAATGTAATTCAAACATATATAAATTTAAATTGGACTTTACATAATATAGAAATCTTCTATTGAAACAACATGCATCTTATAAATAGGATAGTATAGTATGTCAATATCAAATGGATCATTAATAATTAGTAATTCTATCATCTTGTTATCAATAGACATAAAACATATATTTTTGGAGAAAAAAAATATATGTACGTTTCTCAATATAACAAAGACTTTAATTCTTTTTATTGTTGAATACTTTTTTAGCCTATATTATAAATGTATACTTTGATATTATCTTAAACATTTTAAATATATGTGTTGCATTTTAATGCTATATATAATGTAATTCTATAATTTTATTGTTTTATTTATCTGAAATTATTAATACATACAGATTTTTTATACATTTACTTGTCATAAATTGTTATTACATAATAATATAATTTAAAAGTAGGTACAATAAATTAATAATTTGAAATAATCAAATAGGTAACCCCCTTCAAAATATTTTTATACTTTTTATACATTTTTCTACATTTTGCAAGCAAACTATTTTTAAATTTTATTTAGTTATACAATAGAATAGATATTTGTTTAGGATCATTTATATTTTACGCTTATGTTTAAAATATATAATTTAGCATCTATAATTTTAGTATATAGAATTTTTTCATAAATAATCACATTATTATATTCAAATAATTTAGACTGATAATTACGAAATTAATTAATGCATTTTTATATAAAAAAATTAAATTTTTTTATAAGATTTTGTTAGATTCTTTTTTCAACAGAATTTATATAGTTAGAAATAAAATTAAAACAATTTTATAGGAGAAGTTGTTATAGTGTTGATTAAATAAGATGTGATATCTTAATAATGTCAATATGCTAATAAGAAATAAATGAAATAAGATTTTCTAAGGAAGATCCATTTTTAAAATATCACACATGAATAGAAGTTGTGACTTCTCTTTTAATATAATAGATAAATAAATTCATATATTTTTTTGGAAAATTTTCTATTTTTATTTCCAAAGACTAATTTAAAAAAAAATTATTGATTAAAATAACTTAAACATACTCCAGTAATAGGGATGATTAGTCCTAGTAATTTATTTTGTTAATTGTATGCATGTAAACAAATTTGTTAGAAATAAGTTATATACAGACATAACTGTATATATACAGACAAAAGCAAAATATATTTCTAATAAATGTTATGTCTGTATATAATTATAGGATAATTTAACAAAAAGTAGTCAAATCAAAAAATGAATGTTCAAAAGTATATAATTATAGGTTAATTTCTAGAGACAAAAACATGCATTTTGATTTTTTTTTTTAAACAGTGTTTTAAATTCATCAGCAACTCATTGTATATGATACTAAGCTTAAGAAATATGTAACCAAATTTCGAGATTATAATAGAAAACTTGGAAAACTTTTATAATGGATCAAAATATGTGAAACTACCAGTTGAGAACATGTGCTTTGTACTTTATGCTATTAATACGGGTTTTGAACAAATTCTAATTGAAAAATTTCTCAGATTTTGTAAGAAAGATAAATATTATAAATATACTTCGATTCTTATAAAAATAGAACAACAAAATTATATAAATGTACATCAAAATCATGAGAAAGAAAAAATATTTTAATTAATCATATACAGTTCTCAATATTTTAGCCAAGACTTTGAAAAACCATGGATCTTAAATCAAAAATAACAACTATAAATAGAAAGTATACATGAAAATATACATAACTATACCTTTTTATGATATGCGAACCAAGCATAATTTTCTTTGTGATGATTGGTAATATTAGCAATTGTGTAAACTTGTCTGTTATTTTCCCTAAAACAAGAAAAAGAAAAAGATGTGGAAGAAATGATTACCTTGTATCCTATTATCATTGACTAAATACTACGATTGAAAGCATTTGATTGTGTACAACTTCATTTATGAGTTCATATATAGAAGCAAAAGAAGTTGAAGATGTGGGAGATCAAAAAAGTTTGTGGGATTGGTTTTTGCAGAAAAAAAAAACGAAATGAAAATTTTATAAAAGTTCCCTGTATTTAAAAACAGAAAAAAATAATATTTTATTTAAAAATATAAAATAATACGTAACATTCAGAGAATTGTCAGAATTGTTAACACTCAACATCTAGCACATATGCGTGGGCTCAGTGAAGCCTATAATATAGTTTTGGTAGGGTTGGTGAATTCCACTGTATGGACTTTTATGTCAACAACTCGTTTCGTCTCAACTCACTACAGAAAACCCAAAATAAAAACAACTGTATCTAGAGGAACTGAAAAAATGGAAAATTTTCAAATATTACAATCTGTAAATAACAATTATGTAAGGAAAAACTTTTTATCTTTTCCTAAATTAAGATGCTGTAGTTCACTTTTCTTCAAAAATAAAAAGGAACCTTAACTTTCTTGTGATGTTTTAACTTTTTAATGAAAACATAAAAGTATGTGCTGAATGTATATTTTGGGTTAAAAAGTGTGTGGAATTGTTAAGTTTACACTTTCTTGATTATACATTATGATGTTGGTAAGAAATCCTATCAGAGGTCATTTATAACACCATTCATCATCATCATAAAAGCCCATTTAAACCGAACCATAATACTATAAATAGAATGAAAGGTCTATAGCTTTCTCTCTTTCCTTCCGACTCTGTCTCCACCTACTTCCTCACTAAACTGAGTCACCATGAGCAAGGTAACTGAGTCAAACCGTCGCTCCCCTTTACAACATTCTCGAATATTCTCTCTCAGTTTTATAGGATTTGTTTTTTATTTATTTTTGTAACTCTGGAGCATATTTACTGTGTTTGAATTGCTCAATATGTTTTTATCTATGAGCAGAACAACAAAGTAGATGACGGCGCTGAGAAGAAAACGGCGTCAGTCACTGTCGTTTTGAAAGTCAATATACATTGCGATGGTTGCGCTTCAAAACTCGTTAAACGCGTTCGTGCTTTCCAAGGTTTTTAATTTTTTAATTTATTTTAAAAATATGTTTGAATATCCCTAATTTACTGGGAATATAACAATATTGTATCTGTCTCAGGCGTTAAGACAGTGAAAGCAGACTCAGGGACTGGGAAAGTAACAGTGACCGGAGATGTAGATCCGGCTAAACTCCGGGAGCAACTTGAAGTGGAGCTAAAGAAGAAAGTCGAGCTGGTTTCTCCTCAGCTCAAGAAGGAGAAAGAGAAAGAGAAAGAGAAAGAGAAAGAGAAAGACAATGACAATAAGGACAAAAGCGTTGAAGACAAAAACAAAGACAAGAAGTCAGAGGAGAAGAAACCTAAAGAAGTAATGCTTTGAACATTACTATACTCTTTATATATTCGTATTATTACAAAACCAAGAATCTGATTCAGAGTATATTATGTTAGGCTCAGGTAACAACGGTGGTACTGAAGGTGGACTTGCACTGTCAAGGTTGTATTGGGAAAATTCAAAAGACTGTCTCTAAAACCAAAGGTTAGTTAAAAGAGACAAAACTAATGAGTTCAGTTGCGTTTTCAAGACACGCTGTTTTTAGTTTAAAACGCCCACACTGTTTTTTTTTTCTTTCTTTTGCGATCGTTAGGTGTGAGTGGGCTATCAATAGATCACGAGAAGCAGTTAGTGACGGTTAAAGGAACAATAGATGTGCAAAAGCTCGTCAAGAGTTTGACTAAGAAGCTGAAACGTAACGTGGAGATTGTGACGCCGGCGAAGAAAGAGAAAGAAACTGGTGATAAGAATAAAGGAGACGGAGGAGGAGGAAAGGATAATTCCGGTAGCAATGGGAATGTGATGGAGCACGTGGCGGCTCAGCCTACAGATGAGTCTACGTATTATCAGAGTGGGACTGATGAAAATCCGACTCAAACCGCACTTAATATGTTCAGCGATGATAATCCGAATGCTTGTGTCGTTATGTGAAAGACGGTTGGTAGAATAGTTAATATACGATATGTAATCATTTTTTCAACTGGGAATAATACAATAATTCTAGTTTAATTGCTAAACCCCTTTTTATTCATCAAATCAGTATGATACTATTGTTTTATACAAAAAAAAAATGTTGTCATTAAAGAGAAACACACAAAATACGCATTGATAACTATTTCAAAATTTATGAGTCAATTGCATGTATTTTGCTGTAAACAATTAAAGGTTTCGAACAATTTAGGTCATTAAAGAGAAACACAGAAAGTCTTCTATTGTGAAAGGTTTCGAACAATTATATTTATGTTTTTTTTGGATTGAATCCATTTCTAGCTTTCGTAATTGCATCGGCTAAACCCTAATTCATCGATGCTATTGTATAGCTGGTGGAATGGAATATAAGAGCTGATGATGACTATATAAGATAGTGTATCTTATGTAGGTATGTCTTCCCTTTGATAAATATTAGATAATACCATAAATGTCAACATCTCAGTCTTTTAGTAATTATAAAAAAAATCCAACAATACAACCAAAAATATTATTTTTTCCAACATCTGTTTCACCTTCAAAAACGTCAAAAACAAAAATAGAAGTGCACAATGATAATAACAATACTAATATAGAAGAATCACTGACCTCTTCATGAGCAAGAAGTGCAGAGATTACGAGTATGGTGTCTCTTTCTCTCTAACGTGTTGGCTTCAGAACTCGTTAATAACTATTCCCAAAACCATCACCAAACAAAATCCATCTCACTCTCTAAGCACACGACCCAATCAGAGTCTTGTGACTTGTCTATTCTCAATCATCAAGTCCAGCTTTAGCCTTAAGATGCTTCTTAAAGTCCATAATATCACCATTCCATTTAGTAATACACTGCTTCTCACACACCCATATCTCATGAGCCACCTGGTTAATCAACCTAAAGTCATGACTCACCAGAACCAAACCACCATCCCACTCGTTCAACGCCTCAGCTAGAGAGTCTATCGTCTCAATATCCAAATGATTTGTCGGCTCATCCAACAAAAGCATGTTAGGCTGCTTATAAGCCAACCACGCAAATATCACACGGCTCCTCTGTCCATCAGAGAGATTCTTCATCGGCATCACTTGCGCCTTACCGGTTAGACCAAACCTACCAATAGCAGCTCTCATCTTCTCCTCTTCGTTGCCTGGAAACTCGTTCATCATGTAGATAAGCGCAGGCACTTCCAGGTCTAGCTTCTCAGCTAGATGCTGATGGTACTGAGCAATCTTCAAGTGGTTGTGACGCCTCACCATTCCTTCAGTAGGATGCAGCTCACCAGTCATGAGCTTCAACAGAGTACTCTTCCCAGCTCCATTAGGTCCAACAAGTGCCACCCTCGAGTCCAAGTCAACACCAAAGTCAATATTCTTGTATATAAGATAGTCAGGTGTGTACCCAAAAGAGACTTCAACAAACTGAAGCACTGGAGGTGGGAGCTTCCCGACGTCAGCGAATCGGAAAACGAGGACACTGTCTCTTGCTACCTTCTCTGTGAGTCCACCTCTCTCCATCTTGGCCAAAGTCTTCTCTTTACTCTGAGCTTGACGAGCTAGTTTGGCTGAACCGTGACCAAACCGAGCGATGTACTCCTTCATGTGGGAGATCTGCTCCTGCTCCCATCTGTATTGTTTCATCTGATTCTCTTCTAGCTCGGAACGTGTCTGGCAGTACTGGTCGAAGTTACCAGTGTAGTACTTGAGCTGCTTGCTTTGCATGTGGATAATGTTGGTACACACTCCATTCAAAAAATCCTGTGAGTGGGATACCACAACTAGGATGCGGTCAAAGTTCTTCAGGCTCTCCTCTAACCAAACACAAGCTTCCAAATCTGTTGCAAGAGAGAAATAAAAGTCAGCACAAATATCCAACAAAAAATATTTGATATGTAGTTTAACGTTTACTCACACATATTAGGAAAATCACTAAATTTTCTACTATATCAATAATTACTGTTTTCTTTTATTTTATTTTATTAACTAATTAGCTAAAAAAATAAGGATAAAAGTAGACAAACTATAAAACACATGCATTGATAAAATTATAGAGAAGTTATAATAAAACAGATTTTAAAGTCTAAAACTACACATTAAAATGAGACGGAGGGAGCATAAACTAATTGAAACATAAACAGAAACCAATCCAAAGCAAAGTAAGAACACAAACCTAAATGATTTGTGGGCTCATCAAGCAAAAGGATAGTTGGCATAATGAAGAGAGCTCTCGCCAATGCAATTCTCATCCTCCAACCACCAGAAAAATCTCTAGTCTTCTTAGCTTGCATCTCCTTGTCGAAACCAAGACCAAACAGAATCTCAGCAGCACGCTTCTCCGCGGTTGAAGCATCCATAGCTTCTAACCTCTCATAGATTGTGTCAAGACGCTCTCCACCTCCATCATCCTGAAAACCAAAACCAATATTCAGCATCCAAACACAAACCAAACATATAATCATTTTACACAAACCTGCTCAACAAGAGTCTCAATCTCCTTCTCCAACTTCAACCTCTCCTCATCACAGCTCATAACAGCCTCGAGTGAAGTCATATCAGTAGCTTCAATCTCATGAGAAAGATGGTATATATCCATGTGATCAGGAATCGGCAGCTCCCTAAGTCCAATCGCAGTTAAGAGAGTAGACTTCCCACAACCATTCAATCCAAGCAAACCATAACGTCTCCCATAGTTAAGCTCCAACATCGAATCAACAATCAGGTCATAACCATGAAACGTTACAGACAAAGACTCTATCTGCAAATCAAACCAAACAAAATAATCAATCTAACATATATTCACAAGAGTTCTTAAGGAAAGAGCCTCACTTACACGAATATCTCTCGATTGAGGATGAGAGCAGAGGATTCCGGTACATGTCCGGTCAGATATCTGAAGAGCATCGACGCTGCTGGATAAGCTATCAACTCCGTTTGAAGAAGTAGCGGCGGATTTAGAAGCTGCGGCGGCTGCGGCTTTACCGCCTCTTTTGGCGGCGGCGGCGGCTTTCTTCTGAGCAGCCTTCTTCTTGCTAGCGTCAGACACCATCTTTAGATCTCCCTGTAACCTCAAAACCAAACCGTTGAGGATACAGATCGGGAAGGGTTTAGATATTGTAAGAGACAGTAAAAAGTTACCTGGTGGAGATTGGGAGGTGGAGAGATGTGTAGATCTAAAGAGTTTCAGCACCTGTTCGGAAAAATTAGGGTTAATGAGAATATTTTTTCTAGTTGAGGGAGGCGGAAGAAATGGGTTTTTTTTTATAGGAGATGAGTGCCACGTGTACGACAAGACTGTGTTTAGAGCATCCACATCAATAAATCCCCTCTTGGGATTCATTGATTCAATTGTTTATTATTAAAAAAATTTGATTTTCTTTTTGATTTTTAAGAAAAAAAATAAAAAATTGACCAACCGCGGGTCGCCATGTGTCCGGGGACTCGCGCTACAGTGATGAACCGGGTTCACCGCAGAGAGTCTGCAAGAGGCAGATTTATCACTATTCTTTATTTTAATTTTTTTTTTTTTTGAAAACCGTGTGAACCCCCATCTGAACCTCTGATGGGGTGATCTTATTTCTCAGTTTGCGTATAGGAATCCAACACCGAACTCCCCCATCTGGTCGGTCACGAATATGATGCGTTTTCTATATGGGCTTTTAAATTAAAGGCTCAATATAAACCCAAATGTCTTAATTGACTTGTACCAGCTTAATTAAAGGCCCAAATGCATGTTTTTGTATTGAAGCTTTTGATTTTTTTTAATAAATATTATATTAATTAACCGCTCTTAACTGGGAATACCGTATCGATTACAACTTTGAATCAGATAAAATAGCTGTTTTAATCTACCCCCAACTAGATCCCCTTACACAAACCTAATCCAGGGCGGTTCACTAACGGTTTGAGATCTCCACAGAATCGATCACCGTTCTCAACCGAAATATGCATAACGCAAGAAGGTGGACTTAACCCGGTTTTACCCGAATTTCCGGTGCCTTCTCGAGTGCTTCCACCACCTTAGTTGTATTAGAACATGATTATTACAAATACCCATATTAGAGGTTCTTATTATTTTTTTAATGCTTTTAAGTACAAAAAGTGACTTAAGTGACAAAGTTAAGAAACCTAAACATTTAAGGGCTTCATTGCAAGACTCTTAATTATGGGTTCTTAAAAAATATTATGAGAAGAATGATGCCATATAGAAATTGTTTTTTGATTATTTTGTGAATAAAATTTGTGTTCAAGAGAATGAGTAAACATGAATTTGTTACGAGAACAAAGGTTTATATAGAGAATGAGAGTACACCACTCACTCTAATCCGTGACTACAAAAAATCAGGCCGTAGTCCTTCCTCAAACCATGCTGTTGGTGCAAGGAAGTCCCTTGGTGCAGCAAGACCATTGGCACCTTCACACACCCAAAAGAGAGAATTTTTATAACACAACTAAGGTTAAAAAAAAAGAAGTTGAGCTACAAATATCAATCTAAAAACACTGCGCTTCACTCCACAAAACAAAATTCAAAGACATTGTACTTATAAGAAAACTTGACAATTTTCAATGGGTTAAACAAATGTGCAAGAGCCAAACTTTAAGCTTTCAAATTTATCAACTAGGAAGAAAATCAAGCGCTTTCTAACCAAAACTTAAGAAGTATTGCTACTGGATTGTGATATCTAATTTAGCAGAAATCAAAATCAAACACTTTGCTGTTGGAAAAACAACTAAAGAACAAATCAAAATCAAACTACTGGAACTGGAGAAGCTTATGGACTCAACGAGACTCTGAGCACACATCAAAGAACTCAAGTAAAGAAAAAAATCTACACTCTATGAAAATAAATTGTGTATACATACCTAGAGTGGTGCTAAGCTCAACAACATTACAGAAACAGCTAGCGAGCTCAAGACCATAAGAACTAACAACAGGGCTAAGGATGTTTAGAAGAGTAAAACATCAAAGAAAAGAAAACAAACCTTGAAGTAATGGAACAATAGAGTAGTGATGAGATCTTGAAGCAGAGGATTCAAAACCTCGTTGTTGAGATTGTCCACTGTTTCGTAATCACATCAACAGTCCTCAACCATACCTTTGTATTTACCACTTCCTTGTGTATATATCAACAATGTCATCAAAAAGATTAAGTTTTTATATTATCTTCAATCCAAAAACCAAAGCTTTGACCTTTTAACTTTTGTCAACACGAAACAAAGTTCATCAAATTCAGACACGACAAACGTAACTGAGATCCTTTTGTCCACATTCCTTTATCAGATTGAATCACAAGATGGGGAGAGTAATCACAAACCTGAAGTGAGCAGCTGCAAAAACTTAGAACCACAAAACATCCAATGATCTGCACACTATTGTTCCTCAAGATGAACTCAATTCTTAATTAACAACTTAGATACAAACGAAGTTACGGCTCAGAAACTACACTGAAGCGATTAAATCTAACAAATCCTAAAAGAATGGTAAAAGATCTCAAAGAATATGAGGAACCAAATCAAACTTAATAGCATCTTTGATGAACGGATCGAGCAACGAGAACATACGAAGGAGAGAGACAACAAGACACATGGCATTAAGAAACGCCTCTTCTTCTCCTAATTAAGACATCATCTTCTCCTAATTAAGACACGCCTCTTGTGTTAATTTGTATTTTTGATTTTCTTTTGAATTAAAATTACATTAAGAGATGGGTTAAGAACCCGCGATAATAATGCTCTTATTACCGGAGTAACTGGATCCCGATGACTTCATCATCTTCATAATCTAGCCATTCAATGAAGCACACTAACAACCGGATGAGAGGAAATGAGATCCTTACCGCAAGAAACAAAGTCACGGCAGCGAGAAAGACTCCTCCAACGAACAAGACGGGTTGTGGTGGAGGCAAATTATGAGAAAGAACTTCGGACCTGCAAAAAAGAAAAAAAAAATCTGCTGAAACACCAAGGAGCCTTTCAACACTGGGATTTTGCTTGCTATACAAAGTATTGGTATTTAAGATTTAAGATGAAAATAATATTATCACCATATACGTATGGAGGAGAGAGCTAATAATCACTAGAAAATGCTGCATTCGATCCATTATGTATATAGTATGAGTATCAACGTATCATAAGCAGGCCTGATCATAAGTTAATTACCTTTAAACCGTTGTTAGTTTTTTTTATGAGATGAAATTCTTGAAATTTCTTGGTTAAATTGAAATATATCTCTTGGTAGCTTGATACTTCCGACAAGTGAATGTAAAATCCAATAATTTTTGCAAATAGTTTTAAAATTATATAGGTTGGTTTTCAGTTTTTTGAAAGGTATATCTAGTACCGGTCATGATATGGAGAAGTAACAATTAATTTTCTAAAATTGACCATTTTTATAAAAACATTGAATTTTTTATGTAGTTAAAATGGTATAATGTAACAATAATTTTTTTCTGAAAAAATGTTGACATTTCAAGTTTCTTTAGAGGGTTGGAAGAAGTTGCTCGAAGAATTTCCCTTAAGGGCTGGCACTGGTTATATCGTTCATCTAAATGTTACATGTAATAGTAAGTGCCTCATGAAATCAACAAATGTAATAAAGAATCTTCGGATATTCTGGTTACAGTCTTGTTTTACACTTGTTTTATCTATCTTAATTACCTTTTGTAATCTTTTTTCTCTCCTCTTTTTTTCCCTTTCTTTTGTGGTCTTTTTTTTTTTTTTGTTAAAGGGTTCTCTTTATTTTTTAGTTATGTTCTTTTGTTTTTTTTTTCTTTTGTGGTCTTTTGGTCCACTTTTTTTGGGTATGCCCTCACGTGGTTAGAACCAAAGACAATCATCCCTATGAAACAAGGAAACAAAATACAAAATCATTTTTCACACCTTTTGGTTACCCATATTATTTTTACTAAAGTACTTGAAAGTTTAAAATTTGGCATCCTTCAACTACTTGACATCGATGAAATTTATAAGCGTGTTGAAAAGCTTTGTTAGTTACTTTGATGTGATCAAATTTTAAATCCTTTGGTTTCCTAACTCAAATGGAACTGTCAAGAAATAAACGGTTTTGGTTTCTTGAAGAAAAATTGCTAGACAGAAAATTGGAATCTTAAGACTAACATTTATGATGATAATGATCAGCATGGATGAAATGTAAACATTGATGTTGATTTAAATTTCTTTATAGTGACTAATTTTTACATAAATAAATACATTTTGGCTTTACATTACAATAAAAGAGAATAAAAATGAGAGTTGTAATGTGAGCATTTATGGCATGGGCTGGTATCCACTATATGCTGACTTGTTATTAAATTGCGAAAGAAATCAAACCTAAACTTTACAAAGAGAAGGAAAATATACCAAAAGTAACCACCCTGAAAAGTGTTTGCCTCTTATCTAAATCTACAATTACATTACTAAAGTTTCAGTTCATTATAAATGATTTAGTATAATGCTGATGTTGATAAGAATTGAAAATAAATCGTTTTTGTTTCTTTTGGCAACCAAACACTCTTGAAGCTAGAATATATTTTCACATAAGCCCTTGTAAATCTCCAACAACGGTTGGACGGCACATATATACATCTTTGGAATGATCGATCACATAGACTAACTCACCATCTTCTCTAACCATATTCACTATATTGAATTCATTCGAAACATCGCTTGAACTACTATCATTGCTCCTCAAAAGTTTAACGGAGGTGTAGACATATAAATAGACAGAACATAGGCTCTATAGACAGCAACACCTTGCACAAGGAGGTAATAACGAAGCCCACAACGTGTGAAAATAATAAAACAAATTAGAGAATGAAAAGAGAAAGACATGTCGGAGTGAATGCTTTTCCCTTGATCCATCCATCATCACATTTTTCTCTACCTTTTATACCTTGTGAAATTTATATATTTCATGGAAAAACATTTCAAATCAAGTAAGACCGGTTTAGTGTGAATCTTCCTCCCCGACCGGATGATTTCGTATACCAACAAATATTGGGCCTTTATTTTAAAAGCCCAAATAAATGCGAATATTCGTTACCGACCAGATGGGGTGTTGTTGTTGGATTCCGATACGCAAACTGACTGAGAAGTCTCCAACTAAACAACTCTTGTCGTAACACGTGGCATTCACTCATCTTCTATAAAAACATGTATCTTCCGCCTCCCTCAACAGAAACCATCTTCACATTAACCCTAATTCACCACACAACTCAACAAAAAAAAACTCCGAAACTCTTTAGATCTACACATCTCTCCCAATCTCCACCAGGTAATAAAACTCACCGTCTCATCTTCTCTTCAAAATTTATAATCCTTCCCGATCATTTCCTGATTTTTGAGATTACAGGGAGATCTAAAGATGGTGTCTGACGCTAGCAAGAAGAAGGCTGCTCAGAAGAAAGCCGCCGCCGCCGCCAAAAGAGGCGGTAAAGCAGCCGCCGCAGCTTCTAAATCCGCCGCTACTTCTTCAAACGGAGTTGATAGCTTATCCAGCAGCGTCGATGCTCTTCAGATATCTGACCGGACATGTACCGGAATCCTCTGCTCTCATCCACAATCCAGAGATATTCGTGTAAGTGAGGCTCTTTCCTTGAGAACTCTTGTGAATATATGTTAGATTGATTCTTTGTTTGTTTGATTTGATTTGCAGATAGAGTCTTTGTCTGTAACATTTCATGGTTATGACCTTATTGTTGATTCGATGCTGGAGCTTAACTATGGGAGACGTTATGGTTTGCTTGGATTGAATGGTTGTGGGAAGTCTACTCTCTTAACTGCGATTGGACTTAGGGAGCTGCCGATTCCTGATCACATGGATATATACCATCTTTCTCATGAGATTGAAGCTACTGATATGACTTCTCTTGAGGCTGTTATGAGCTGTGATGAGGAGAGGTTGAAGTTGGAGAAGGAGATTGAAACTCTTGTTGAGCAGGTTCGTAGTAAAATGATTATATGTTTGATTCGTGTTGGATGCTGAATATAGTTTTTTGTTGTCAGGATGATGGAGGTGGAGAGCGTCTTGACACAATCTATGAGAGGTTAGAAGCAATGGATGCTTCAACCGCGGAGAAGCGTGCTGCTGAGATTCTGTTTGGTCTTGGTTTCGACAAGGAGATGCAAGCTAAGAAGACTAGAGATTTCTCTGGTGGCTGGAGGATGAGAATTGCGTTGGCGAGAGCTCTCTTCATTATGCCAACTATCCTTTTGCTTGATGAGCCCACAAATCATTTAGGTTTGTCTTCTTACTTTGCTTTGGTCTTATTTGTGTTTCATTGTGTAGTGTTGGACTTTAAAATCTGTTACATAAGTGTTCTATAAATTTTTCAATGCATATGTTTTATAGTTTGTCTAGCTAATTAATTAATAAATCAAATAAAAGAAAATAGTTTAGTGATATAATAGAAAATTTAGCGATTTTCCTAATATGTGAATAAAATTTAAACAACATATCAAATTTTTTTTTTTGATGTTTGTGCTGACTTTCATTTTTCTATTGCAACAGATTTGGAAGCTTGTGTCTGGTTAGAGGAGAGCCTGAAGAACTTTGACCGCATCTTCGTGGTGGTATCCCACTCGCAGGATTTCCTGAATGGTGTTTGCACAAACATCATCCACATGCAAAGCAAGCAGCTCAAATACTACACTGGTAACTTCGATCAGTACTGCCAGACACGTTCCGAGCTAGAAGAGAATCAGATGAAACAATACAGATGGGAGCAGGAGCAGATCTCCCACATGAAGGAGTACATCGCTCGGTTTGGTCACGGTTCAGCCAAACTAGCTCGTCAAGCACAGAGTAAAGAGAAGACTTTGGCCAAGATGGAGAGAGGTGGACTCACTGAGAAGGTAGCAAGAGACAGTGTACTCGTTTTCCGATTTGCTGACGTGGGGAAGCTCCCACCTCCAGTGCTTCAGTTTGTGGAAGTCTCCTTTGGGTACACACCTGACTATCTTATTTACAAGAACATTGACTTTGGTGTGGACTTGGACTCGAGGGTGGCACTTGTTGGACCCAATGGAGCTGGGAAGAGTACTCTGTTGAAGCTCATGACTGGTGAGCTGCATCCTACTGAAGGAATGGTGAGGCGTCACAACCACTTGAAGATTGCTCAGTACCATCAGCATCTAGCTGAGAAGCTTGACCTGGAAGTGCCTGCGCTTATCTACATGATGAACGAGTTTCCAGGCAACGAAGAGGAGAAGATGAGAGCTGCTATTGGTAGGTTTGGTCTAACCGGTAAGGCACAAGTGATGCCGATGAAGAATCTCTCTGATGGACAGAGGAGCCGTGTGATATTTGCGTGGTTGGCTTACAAGCAGCCTAACATGCTTTTGTTGGATGAGCCGACAAATCATTTGGATATAGAGACGATAGACTCTCTAGCTGAGGCGTTGAACGAGTGGGATGGTGGTTTGGTGCTGGTGAGTCATGACTTTAGGTTGATTAACCAGGTGGCTCATGAGATATGGGTGTGTGAGAAGCAGTGTATTACTAAATGGAATGGTGATATTATGGACTTCAAGAAGCATCTTAAGGCTAAAGCTGGACTTGATGATTGAAGATAAAGTCAAGTCACAAGACTCTGATTGGGTCGTGTGCTTAGAGAGTGAGATGGATTTTGTTTGGTGAATGGTTTTGGGAAGAGTTATTAACGAGTTCTGAAGCCAACACGTTAGAGAGAAAGAGACAACCATACTCGTAATCTCTGCAGTTCTTGCTCATGAAGAGGTCAGTGATTCTTCTATATTAGTATTGTTATCATCATCTGCATTTTTAATTTGTTGTTGTTTAACGTTTTTGAAGGCGAAACAGAGAAAAAGTAATATTTTTACTTCTACTGTACGACATTTTATTATTGTTACAAGACTGAGATGTTGACGAATATTGTATTATTTAATACTAGTATTATCAAAGTGAAAAAAAACAAGACACCTACATAATCTCATCATTTCCATGAACACAACAAAGCCATTCCCCAACTATTCAATAGCATCGCAGAGATGTGTTGTGGTGTATCAAATATTACGATTGGTGTTTTGCCGATGCTGAGACCAAAGCTGGAATTCAATCGAAACCACATAAATGTAATTAATTGAAACCTTCAGAGTTTGCTAAGGATAATTGACGTAGATAAAACTAAAATAGGAAAGAGATTACTCTGAAGGGAACTAAAACAAACATATTTTGAGTTAGAGAAAACATATTTTTGTGATAAAAGAGTTCCATTCAAACTTTATATTACCACGACACGAGTTAGAGAAAGTCCAAGGATTCTCTCTATTTCTCCCCTCCTTATTTATCGCCATGTCTTCCTCTCCACCATAATTTCTTGACTTCCAAGAAATATCACAATCTCTCCCTGAAAAGAAAAAAATAAAAAAATAAACATAACAAACCCTAGCTCTCTCTCTCTCTCTCCCCCTCTTGAATCTCAAGAACATATCAATTACTAATGTTTGATTGATCCATCCTAATCTCCAGAATAATTCTCTGCAACATTTGTATTTTTCTTTCAAGAAATTTTCTGGAATGGGAAAGAGAAAGTTATGTTTTCAAGAAACATTGGTTTCCTTGTTTGTTTCTCTTGTCTTTATATTTCATCAAGGAGTAATCTGTCAAGATGATAGAAGCTTAGACAATCCCGCGGCTAATCGCCTCTATAACCAATTCGTCTTCGACAAAATATCAAATCTCACAGAAGTTTTCGAGGATGACATCAAACGAGAACTCGGTTTCTGCATTACCAATGTGTTAGTTCAAAAACATTGTTCTCCTTATCCAAAACTAACCAATCAATGAACGAAATGAACATGTCCTTGTGTGTTGCAGAAAAGAAGATTATAATGAAGCGTTTAACTTCTCTTCAAAACCAGGCTTTTTAAACGCATGTGGTAAAACCACAAAAGGTATATATACATATTAAAGAAATTTAAATTAGTTTTTATTCCTTTTTGTTGATGTTTTTTTTTTTAGGTGACATGATGCAGAGGATATGCACGGCTGCAGAAGTGAGGATATACTTCAATGGATTATTAGGAGGTGCAAAGAGAGCTACGAACTACTTGAAACCAAACAAGAACTGCAATCTATCTTCATGGATGTCTGGATGTGAACCTGGATGGGCTTGTCGTACTGCTAAAGACGTGAAGGTTGATCTTAAAGACGATAAAAACGTTCCTGTAAGAACTCAGGAATGCGCGCCTTGCTGTGCAGGTTTCTTCTGCCCTCGTGGGATTACTTGCATGATACGTAAGTTACAAAGCTTTCACAAAATGTCAAGAATCTTTTCCGTTTTTATCGACTTCTTATGTTTTTTTTTTACTTCCCCAATGATGTGAAGCTTGTCCTTTGGGAGCTTATTGTCCAGAAGCTAAGCTGAACAGAACAACAGGACTATGTGACCCGTATGTCTTTTTTTTTTTTGTTTTTTTTAGGTTTTGTTTATTTATGATTTGGTAAAGATTAGAAGAAGGATTGTTGTTTTTGCAGATATCATTACCAGCTTCCATCTGGACAGCCAAATCATACTTGTGGTGGTGCTGATATTTGGGCTGATATTGTTAGTAGCAGTGAAGTTTTCTGTTCAGCTGGATCTTTTTGTCCTTCAACTATTGACAAGCTTCCTTGTACTAAAGGGTATGAATGATTTTTAATAACTTTGTTTTGGAGATTCACCACATAACTATTCTTCTCTTTTTGCTCCTCCAGACATTTCTGCAGGACAGGTTCTACTGCTGAAAAAAGTGAGTGATCAGATCCTCTCTTTGTTACCATGATGTAGCATAGCAAACAATGTTTGAACAGAACGTCTGTTTTCTCTGATGAATTTGCAGATTGTTTTAAGCTGGCAACGTGCAATCCAAGATCAACAAATCAGAACATCACAGCATATGGAATCATGCTTTTTGTGAGCAATAATACATAACCTGATCTCTCATTTATCTCTCTTCATGCATCTATTGGTTTATTTCCAAAAAGTTTTGAGTCTTTGACTTTATGTCTATATATGTAGGCTGGGCTAGGTTTCTTGCTGATAATCTTATACAACTGCTCTGATCAAGTTCTTGCAACGAGAGAAAGAAGACAAGCAAAGTCCAGGGAAAAAGCAGTACAAAGCGTGCGTGAGACGCAAACGCAAGAGAAATGGAAATCAGCCAAAGATATAGCAAAGAAACATGCCACAGAGCTTCAACAATCGTTTTCAAGAACGTTTTCTCGGAGGAAGTCTATGAAACAACCTGATTTGATGAGAGGTATGAGCCAAGCAAAGCCTGGATCAGATGCTGCTTTACCACCAATGGCCGGAGGCAGCTCAGACACAACCAAAAAGGGGAAAAAGAAGGATAAGAACAAACTAACTGAGATGTTACAGGACATTGAACAAAACCCTGGAGACACTGAAGGTTTTAAGCTTGAGATTGGTGACAAAAACATTAAAAAACATGCTCCAAAAGGAAAGTCATTGCATACTCAGAGCCAGATGTTTAGGTATGCTTATGGCCAGATTGAAAAGGAGAAAGCTATGCAGGAGCAGAACCAGAACTTGACTTTCTCTGGAGTAATCTCTATGGCTAATGACATTGAAATAAGAAAGAGACCTACCATTGAAGTTGCATTCAAAGATCTTTCTATTACTCTGAAAGGTAAAAACAAACATCTCATGAGATGTGTGACTGGGAAGCTATCACCTGGACGTGTTTCTGCTGTGATGGGTCCTTCAGGAGCTGGCAAAACCACTTTCCTAACAGCTTTAACAGGGAAAGCACCAGGTTGCACCATGAGTGGGATGATTCTTGTAAACGGAAAAGTTGAATCAATTCAATCCTACAAGAGAATCATTGGCTTTGTGCCTCAAGATGACATAGTCCATGGGAACTTGACAGTGGAGGAGAATCTCTGGTTCAGTGCAAGATGCAGGTAAGTCACATTTCCCTGTTATAGAAACTCAAGTTTTAGTTTAGACATAAGCTTATGAAACTTCATGATACAGGCTCCCTGCGGATCTCCCTAAGCCTGAGAAGGTTTTAGTTGTGGAAAGAGTGATTGAGTCACTAGGTCTTCAACATGTCAGAGACTCTATGGTTGGGACTGTGGAAAAGAGAGGAATCTCTGGAGGTCAGAGGAAAAGAGTCAACGTTGGTCTTGAAATGGTGATGGAACCATCACTTCTGATATTAGATGAACCAACTTCAGGTCTTGACAGTTCATCTTCTCAATTACTTCTCAGAGCTCTACGCCGTGAAGCTCTTGAAGGAGTTAATATCTGTATGGTTGTCCATCAGCCCAGGTTCAACATAATATATACTCATCCCATTTGTTAATCAGATGAGATTAGATCTTGTTCTTATTTTTATCCTTATGTATCATCTCTGCAGCTACACTCTCTTTAGGATGTTTGATGATCTAATACTTTTGGCAAAAGGTGGACTGATATGTTACCAAGGATCAGTCAAGAAAGTAGAAGAATACTTCTCAAGCCTTGGGATAGTTGTCCCTGAGCGTGTGAATCCTCCTGATTACTACATTGATATATTGGAAGGGATACTAAAGCCAAGCACAAGCTCAGGGGTTACCTATAAGCAGCTTCCGGTTAGATGGATGCTTCATAATGGGTATCCAGTTCCGTCTGACATGTTAAAAAGCATTGAAGGTATGGCTTCTGCCTCTGCTGAGAACTCTGCTCATGGTGGAAGTGCTCATGGGAGTGTTGTGGGAGATGATGGAACATCTTTTGCTGGAGAGTTCTGGCAAGATGTCAAGGCAAATGTTGAAATCAAGAAAGATACATTGCAGAATAACTTCAGTAGTTCTGGTGACTTGTCTGAAAGAGAAGTTCCTGGTGTTTATCAGCAGTTCAGATACTTCTTAGGAAGGTAACTCCCCTCAATTACTTGAACCCTGCAACTTTTGTTTTTCCTGTTTATTAGAGGCTGGTAAAATATCAATCAGTTGACATTACGTGCGTTGCAGGTTAGGTAAACAGAGACTGAGAGAAGCAAGGACACTAGCTGTAGATTACCTAATACTTTTGCTTGCTGGTATCTGCTTAGGAACACTTGCTAAAGTGAGCGATGAAACGTTTGGTGCCATGGGATATACATACACAGTCATTGCTGTCTGTGAGTAGAAAAAACTTTTCAAGCTCTTCTGACAACAAACATTGCTTCTTTCTTTTTAATCTTTTTTTAATCATTTTTTGTTTTGTTTTTCAGCTCTCTTGTGTAAGATTACTGCACTGAGATCTTTCTCTCTTGATAAACTACACTACTGGAGAGAAAGCCGAGCAGGAATGAGCAGCCTAGCTTACTTCCTAGCAAAAGACACAGTTGATCACTTCAACACCATTGTCAAGCCTCTTGTTTATCTCTCCATGTTCTACTTCTTCAACAATCCAAGATCATCCGTTGGAGACAACTACATTGTCCTAATCTGTCTTGTCTACTGTGTAACTGGCATAGCTTATGCCCTTGCCATACTTTTCGAACCTGGTCCTGCTCAACTTGTAAGTTCCCAATACTAAAGACTCAAACTAGAAAGCTTTGTTTCACATTATTAGTCTTTGTGCAGTGGTCAGTGTTGCTTCCAGTGGTTCTGACTCTAATAGCCACAAGTACAAACGACAACAAAATTGTAGAGTCAATCTCAGAGCTGTGCTATACGAGATGGGCTCTTGAAGCATTTGTGGTATCAAACGCTCAAAGGTTTGCAAAACTTATTCTCTCTCTGTTGTAAAACTCTATTGCAAGGCTACACATCTTGTTTACTTATACTCTTATGTAATATTTCAGATATAAAGGAGTTTGGCTTATCACTCGCTGTGGATCACTGATGGAGAATGGGTACAACATCAAGCACTTCCCACGTTGCCTCATCTTCCTGACACTAACCGGTATCTTGAGCCGTTGTGCAGCATTCTTTTGTATGGTAACATTCCAAAAGAAGTAGCTTTTAAGTTCCTTTCTATGCATGCGGGACCTAGCTTTCAAAGTACAAGTTTATCCCGCGTCAACTATGCTGGACAAATCAGTAACTAGTGAACATAGAGAAGCCACAAAAAGGTTTTACAAGAAGAAACAATACATCATAACACGGTACACTGTTCATAGGTAGTTCCATCATCAGAGTTGAAGACTTTATTACCTGTAATTCTTCATGTTGTACATCTTTCTTATGTTTTTAGATATAATATAGATCCTTCATTGGTTTGTTATCTATTCTGTTTTATACACCAAGTAAAAATGTAGAAGTCCATAGAAGAACTAATGAGAAAACCTTCAAGAACTTGCATTACTTTCTTGGCTTAAAAGTTAATAACAATGGTAATTTGTTTTCCTTTTATCACTTATAATAGTTTCATACTTCCAGTTGAGATGATATACAAATTATTATTATTCCCTCCGTTTCATTTTACTTGTTATTTTGGATTTTTACACACAAATTAATGAAACATTTAATTTTACAAATTGTTTAGAAAAAAATATAATTATCTATACACCTAATCACAATTCAGTCGATAGAAAACTAGAATAATAGATAAGGTTAACAAATTTTACATTGAAATTATAAAACGACAGTTATTTTTAAATAAAAATTTTACTTGACAACAGACAACAAAACTGAAGGAGAGGAAGTATCATTCTGGTAGTACTATACAGTGTGGAGAAGCATTTATTTAGAAACAAGGTAAATAATGTTCTGGTTATTTTTGTTTATAATAAAATGTAGGTAATGGTTAATTGATTTTTGCGTCCACGCTAATCATACAGGTAGTAGATATGAAACTTGTTCATAATGATTAATGAGCCTAAATCATAATCTCCCTTGTACTCAAACGATAAATCATAACAGAAACCGAATATTAAATCTTATACAATAAAGTTAAGTTTTCTCCCTTCTTAGGGTGTCCAATTCAGCATCATAGGGTGGGGCAAAAAAAGCCACGTCAGCAGTTAACCCAAGTATTCACTCTTAATTCAATTGCGTCCCGTCCGGTTTTCTTTTTCAATTCCGTATTGGTATGTTCTATAGTATGTTGGGCTTTGCTGTTTTTTTTTTACAATA